CAAGTGGGATTCATCCCAGGGATGCAAGGATGGTACAATATTCACAAATCAGTAAATGTAATACATCACATAAACAAAAGCAAAGACAAAAATCACATGATCATATCAATAGATGCAGAAAAAGCACTTGATAAGGTACAGCACCCATTTATGATAAAAACACTCAGCGAAGTGGGAATAGAGGGAGCATTCCTCAACATAATAAAGGCCATATATGAGAGACCTACAGCCAACATCATACTCAATGGGAAAAAGCTAAAATCTTTTCCACTAAGATCAGGAACAAAAGACAAGGCTGTCCACTTTCACCACTTCTATTCAATATAGTATTGGAAGTTTTAGCCACAGCAATCAGACAAGAAAAGGAAATAAAAGGTATGTAAATTGGTAAGGAGAAAATGAAACTGTCATTGTTTGCAAATGACATGATAGTGTACATAGAAAATCCTATAGGCTCCATCCAAAAACTGTTCGACCTAATAAATGAATTTGGCAAAACAGCAGGATACAAAGTCAATATCCAGAAATCAAAGGCATTTTTGTATATCAACAATGAAACGGCAGAAGCAGAAATCAAGAAAAAGATCCCATTTGATATAGGAACAAGAAAAATAAAATACCTAGGAATAAACCTAACCAAGGAGGTAAAAGACCTGTATTCTGAAAACTACATATCACTCAAGAAAGAAATCAAGGAAGACATAAACAAATGGAAACATATACTGTGTTCATGGATTGGAAGAATTAACATCATCAAAATGTCCATACTACCCAAAGCAATTTACAGATTCAAAGCACTATCTATTAGAGTACCAATGGCATATTTCACAGACATAGATCAAACACTTCAAAAATTTATATGGAACCATAAATGACCCCAAATAGCTGCTGCAATTTTGAGAAAGAAGAGTAAAGTAGGAGGGATCACAATACCTGATACTAAACTGTATTACAAGGCCACTGTAATCAAAACAGCCTGGTACTGGCACAAAAACAGGCACATGGACCAATGGAACAGAACAGAGAGCCCAGAAATAAACCCAAGTCTCTATGGTCAATTAATATTTGACAAAGGGGGCAGCAACATAAAATGGAGTAAAAATAGCTTCTTCAACAAATGGTGTTGGGAGAACTGGACAGCTACGTACAAAAAAAATGGAACTTGAGCACCAGCTTACACCACATACAAAAATAAATTCAAGGTGGATAAAAGACTTAAATATAAGCTGTGACACCATAAAAGTTCTAGAGGAGAACATAGGCAGGAAAATCTCAGATATTTCATGCAGAAACATTTTTACTGACATGGCCCCCAGAGTAAGGGACATAAAGGAAAGAATAAACAAATGGGATCCCATCAAAATAAAAATTTTCTGCCCAGCTAAAGAAAACAGTATCAAAATAAAAAGAGAACCAACTGTATGGGAACACATATTTGCCAATGATACCTCAGACAAGGATTTAATCTCCAAAATATATATAAGGAACATACATGACTCTACTCTAAGAAGATGAGCAACCCAATTAAAAAATGGGCAAAGGACTTGAACAGACACTTCTCCAAGGAGGACATACAGAGGATCCAGAGACACATGAAAAGATGCTCAATATCACTAGCTACCAGAGAGATGCAAATTAAAACCACAATGAGATACCACTTCTCACCAGTCAGAATGGCCATCAGAAACAAAGCAACAAACAAGTGTTAGAGAGGCTGTGGAGAAAAGGGGACCCTAGTGCACTGTTGGTGGGATTGCAGACTGGTACAACCACTATGGAAAACAGTATGGAATTTACTCAGAAAATGAAAAATGGAACTGCCTTTTGACCCAGCAATTCCACTGCTGGGATTATATCCTAGGAACCCTGAAACACCAATACAAAAGAACCTAGGCACTCCAATGTTCATAGCAGCACAATTTACAGTAGCCAAGTGCTGGAAGCAACATAGGTGCCCATCAGTAAATGAATGGATCAAAACACTATGGTAAATTTACACAATGGAATTCTATGCAGCAGAAAGAAAGAAGGAGCTCCTGCCCTTTGCAACAGCAAGGATACAACTGGAAAGCATGATGCTAAGCAAAATAAGCCAGGTGGTGAAAGACAAATACCATATGATCTCACCTTTAACAAGAACCTAAACAACAAAACAAACAAGCAAGCAAAATATAGCCAAAGACACTGAAACAGAGAACAGGCTGACAGTGACCAGAGGGGAGAGAATAGGGAATTTCAGGGGAATTTCAAGGGAGAATGTGAAGGGTTTACAGGAACAAATATAAAGGACACGTGGACAAAAACTAGAGGGGGTGGAAATGGGAGGGAGGTGGGGAGGGAGGGGTAGGTGGGCTGGGATGGCAGTAAAGGACAGAAAACTGTACTTGAACAATAATTAAAATAAAATAAGAAAAAAAAAGAACTAAATAAAGGAAGAACACTGGCCTGGGACCCAAGCAAGCCATCCTAATTTCAGTTTGCTCAGCTATAAAATGAATGCTAAGATAACCAGGGATTCAAAGGACCTACAGATATAACTCCCCTCTTTGTGTCTGCTCCATTGGTCAAAAAACATGTGACATAGGAAGGCCTTCCCAGTGCCTGAGCTCTGGTGGAGGGTAGATTCTGCACAGTACAGCTAAAACCCACATCCAGGGCTCATGGGCCTCCCTCTCCACACTCACCATGACTTGCCCCAGAACCCAGGAATACAGCACAGAAAAGGTTCAGCTAAGCCAAGATAGCCCAGGAAACACTAAGGATTTCACAATGAATCACTTAAGAATGCCCAAATTATGTCATTCCACAGTCACTGTGGACACTGTTCCAACTGTTTATAGGCACAGGAGTGTCTACACATGTGAGATGCACATTTACAAATAGTTTTTTTTTATAGTCATGTTTCAGATTTGGGGAGATCTACTGTGCCATGATGTAATCTCTAAGTACAGTGGTATTCCTAAAATAAATCTGATGGGAAAGCAGTGTCTGAAGAAAGAACAACATTCCACAAAGAAAAAAGGAACCAACTCTGACGTCATGTTCATTGTTTCTATGAGCCAAATCAATGAAGCACTGCTCCTAGCATATGATTGAAGCATTTCTGGTCTTTCAAGAGCTTCATATTTTTCTTAATCCTTGTCATCAAAGCATCATTTCTCCACTCAAGAAGAGAAGCAAATTTTTTTTGACATTAAATCTAATAACAACTATAAGAATAATGGTGAATGGTACTAAGATATAAATTAAAACACATGTGAAGTTTTCTGTGATTTACTGATGAAGTACAAATTTAGTATAGTTAGGTAGCAAACAATTAAAAATAAATTCTAACAATTTTTTTAAAAATAGAAAATGCTGAATAGCAATATTGGGTGTTACTGTTAATATGAAGCCTTTACACTAGGAGCTATTTTCTCTGGCACATAATGTCTGGGTGCTGAGGCATGCCTATCTAGTGTCCTTCAAAGCAGAGGTGATTAGAAATACTCTAAGCACATCTGGAATCATTCTGTCCACACCTGTCAGCTCTCCTTTAGCAAAAGCTTTACCATGGGGACACAGCTCCATTTACCTTGAAGTTAATTTTTTTAAGGAATCAAAACCTTCACTTTTCCCTTAGAAAGATATAGACCATATGAGATATTTTTCCTTCATGCTCCCTCTAAAAGAGTAATATGCCACTGGAAATTTTACTACTAAAAATGATGACAAAGAGTTGCTTCTGTATTTTAAAATCTTCAGACCATATGGGCATTCATATATAAAAGTATGAGTTACACATTTTAATATAGTTCCTTATTATATCATGTTTCAGATTTTGAGACACCTACTGTGCCATGATGTAATCCCTAATTACAATGGCATTCCTAAAATAAATCTGATGGGAAAGCTGGTCTGAGCCACAGCACCTTCAAGAAACCAGGTGAGTAAAGAACCTCTTAGAGACTGCTTACTAACACATCAAGAAAAAGGGAAAGTAATGCATTACTCCTAGGAATAACTAGGTAGACCAAAACTTAGAACTGTATGTGTACAAATGTTCCATGTATTACCTCCATAAACCCAAAACAGAGAAGGAACAAGTTTGCAGAAAGGAAGCTGAAAAAATACTATAAAATCAGTCTCATTCTCAATCACTTCTTCCCCAGCTTAATATCCCTCTCCCTCCTTTTCTCTCCTCCAATTTAATTCAACTACTATAATCCCTTCAAAACAGCTCTCCACATAAAAACCTCTAAAACTTTCCTGGCCCTGGGGCAGATTCTTGCTAACCAACATCTGAGCTGTCATGGCTTCAAATGTAATAACAATAACTTTGAAGTTGATGAGGCTGAGGTGGGGTTTGGTCATCAAAGGCTTAGCCAAATAGGGCAGCCTCTGCTAGGGACAATGGCTATTGTGACTTGTTCAGAGGCTATTAATTCACACTATAAAATATAGCTGACAACAGAAGCCTCAGCAGCCAGGCAATCTTATCAGCTAATGGGAACCTTCCCGGGCACAGACTTGAAGTTCAGCTTAATACAAATAGGGAATCACAGTCAACTGAAACAATTTTCCACTAATATTTAACATCTAATATGTATCATGATGGCACAACATGGTAACACCTTTTATGAATCTTGAACTTCTTACCTAGAATCCACAAAGCAAAGGATTCCTGAAGTTCCTGGAATCAGTCCCTGAATAACTATTTTCTAGATTTAAGAGTCACTTTAAAGTCTTTTTTTTCCAGTATATTAATCCTTCACAATTAAGAAAATGATAGTGTGAAGTAGGCTACTTTCCTTGATTAGATTATTTTTTTAAAATCCCAGTAATGGTAGATTAAAGTTGTCAACCCAAATTTTCATCTTATTACATAAAGAAAGTAAAACGCTGTTACACCCACGTGCTGGTTCACCCACTCCTAACTGGAGCGATGCAAGTGTGTGTGCAGAGCTTGCAGGCCACCGCCCCCCGGGCCACGCCCACTACGCCCTGTCTGCCCCACTTACGGTTGGCCAGCCTGTTCTGCTCAGATTGTGCACTGTCCACGGACTGGGTGCTGGAGACCGAAGACACGCTGGAGCTCCGCATGAAGCCAAACGCTGCCAGTTTGGCTGCGGGAAGACGTGAGTACCCAGGAGGCCGAAGTCCAGATTTCTGTAGACCGGATTTGGCAGCATTTGAACTGGAAGCTTTCTTTAAATCTGTTAAAATGAACCCAAAACAAAACAAATTTTAGTTGACAGTGAGATAGAGAACACACAGTGTGAATACTAACCCAGTTCTAGCATAAACAGACCATGAGTAATCTTGAGGGTCCAATTCAGCACATCTTTCACAAACTCATCTTTCCCAGAAAGCCCCCTCATTCTGATGCCAGGTGTTTCAAGGAACTCAAAGAGCAGGAGAGGCAGAGGTGGGTAAGATCAGAAACACTAGCCCTATTGTAGGGTTATAAAGAAAGATACAAAGGGCTTAGAAAGCTGAATAGATGATAATACTGTTGCAAGTTACACAAGAATTGTGAAATTGAGATACACCCTAAAATCTGGCATATGATGGGCAAAGGATCCTCCTGGAAATTATTCATTAGCAATTATAACCAGTATACAGTAAGTCATCGAAACAGGTACAGAGAATCATTTTACTAAGCTTTTGCTGTTTGACAGGAATGAAGGGAAAGGGCACAGACTGAGGAGCTGGCCAGGTTGGAATCTGCACTATAACAGTTACTAGCAGTTTAATTTTGGGCCCCTGACCTAACACTTAGAACCACAGTTTCCTCCTCCAGAAGAAACTGGGGATCATAAAAGTGGCCTTGCAGGTTTAGTGTAAGTATTCCCACTTATAATACAGAACTTAATAGTTGCTCAAACTGATGTTAGGTTTCTTTTCTTTTTTTCTATTACTTATTTTTATGTTAATGTATACTTCAAAATTAGTTTCCAGATATATGCAAATCCAGCTATCAAAATAACAAAACATCATGCTTTAAATCCATCATCTTAGCACCACTATGTCTGAGCCCGTGATCAATCATCACAACACTACAAGAAATCCCTCAATACTAGATAGAAACAGAATGTTTTCAAGACATATGCTCTGCAACACAAAAGTTAAAAGAAAAAAAAGGCCGAGTTCCCTAGTATTCTGTATAACTGTCCTAGCCAAGCCATTTAACAACTTTCTCCTGCAGCTATTTTTATCTCAAGTGCTTATGTCCCTTTTCCTTGGTCCACTTCTCATTATCCAGTGGAAGATCACTCAGGATGCAGATTAAACACAACTTTTTTAACTGGCCCATTTGTAAAAAAAAAAAAAATCAGTGTCTAAAAATCAATGAAGAGTCTATATATTAGAAAGTTTCTATGGGTGGAAATATAGAAAGAACCAACAGATGCCAAGATGCCTCTTGGGATGCCAGGGTTTATGGTGCCTCTTCCTCTGCCAGCAGCTTTCCATAAGAGTGAGGTGAGAACAGTTTCACATCCAGTGAAGGCACAATCTGCACATCTGTAGTTTCCTGATCCTGGGTTGGGACTAGGTTGGGGAGGAATCGGGTGAGTGCAGGGAACTGGGAGCTGGGGCTGCAAATATTCCTAACTCAGGTCTGTCCTGATGCTTGGAAAAAATGCTGAAATATGACGATGAAGAAATAAACACTTTACTAGGTAGTAATGGCCCTTTGCATCAGCAATGAAATGCCATTTCCAATGTCTGTAAATTGTTTTCACATCATTTTGCTTAATTTTAGATGGTATCCTCAGAACAATGAAAGTGTCCTCATGTATCAGATACCATTTTTGTATTAAGTTTATACCAAATCAATTTTAGATGATGTCTTTAAAACAGTAAAAGGGTTGCTAAAAATCAGATGTAATTTTAATAATAAGTATACACTAAACCTATCATATTTTGATACTATTTTTAGTTATAGATAATCTCCTTCCTAACCCAGTTAAACAATAATTGGCTTGAGATTATACGAGATCAAATGAGAAAAAAATACAGGTAAAATATTTTTGGATGGAAAACAAATCCACCTTTGGAAATGAAAGGGAAATCAGAATTCCTAACAGAGCACTTTGGTATGTGGTAAATACTTATTTAATATTTATTTCAGAATGAAAACCAAGTATTAAGTCATAACATAAAGCAAGTAAGCCATTGAAAATTTTCAAAACCAAATCTATCTTAGCTACCCTTACCTATATTCAATCATTGTTCATTTCATCAGTAGAAAGGCAACAGTGATACATGTTGAGAGAGGAGGAGAACTTTACAACATAGGATTCCAAGTACACAGGATGGAGGTCTCTAAATGACTGTCTAGTTTTCACATTGCCCTACTTCAGCTCTTCCTTTTAATAAAGGCACATATGGGGTGGTGGGAACTATTTGTGGATGTATGCCTTGTCCCAACTCTCTGTATATATAGTTTTCTCTAAATTTAATATAACTTAGAGTATACATCAAGTCACTGTACAATGGTCTCTCCTTACAAATAGTAAACTTCAGGGACTAGAGGAGAAAGTAAGACCTATACCACTTGGGTTTGACAACTTATTATTCAATAAAGTTTACCTGAAGTTTTCATTGGCCAAGGTTGTACTACATTAATTTAGCACACAGCATGAGTTGAATATCTCCACTAGTCTCTCTACAAGTGAACTAATCTGAAGTGAAATTCAAAAGCCTGATTTTTAAACAAGTACTTCAGTGATTCTCATTCAGGTAGTTCCCTGGACCACACTTGGAAAACTTCAACAGAAGGTGCCAAATCATCCTGTGAAATAATCACATTCAAACATTCTAATTGAATACACCTTGATTTAATCTTAGTTTCTCATAAAAATGAACTTAATTATTAAGAAATATGTAGTCCTTACTCTTAAGAAACCAGTCTAGCATGTCAGAGAAAGATATTTTTTCAAGTATTTTTTATCCTTGGACTGTTCAAAAACAGACTTTGACAGAAATAGTGTATCAAGGTTCATTGTAAGCCTTCAATAAACTAATGATAGTGATTAATATAATAAAGCTGAGGAGCACAGTAAGAGAGACAACTTCCACAATGAGAAGCCCCATGGATACTTTCTCCAGTGAAACTGATGGGGTACTCAAGAGTTAGAAAATTTTAGTTTAAGGTAATAGTTAATAAGCCTAGCAGTTAATGCATGTAAAAAACTATTGTTTCAGGAACTGCAGGTACAGGCCACCCTGACTCCAGGAGACCACAAGTGATTGACCTTTGTGTTCCAGAAGAGATCATGAGCAATCAAGTTGGTATCTGACCATTATGTGAGGCCCAGGACACAGAGAAAATCACTGGCCAGCAGATGAAAGGATGCTAGGGAAATTGCTGGACTGCAGTTTTGGTCTGATTAACCTCTCTCCTGAATTCCAAATCCCTTACCTACACTTTTTTTCCCTTGAAATTCTAGATCCCTTACATACACTTTTGCCCCTTATAAAAAAAGGCTGGCTTGAAAGGAAATGTAAGATGGTCCATTAAGGTACAAACCCACCATCTTCTCAGATCACCAGTCATCTGAATAAAGGACCCATAAAGATTCAATCCCTGTCTCTGCTTATTGGGTCTGGTAGTATGAATGCCAGCTTTTCTGGTTTCAAGATAAATAAAATTGGTGAAAATTATTTTTTTAAAAATAACAAAAATTTAAAGTCTCTGGAAATTGTTCTAAGAACATAGAGAAAATAAAGAAACACTTTATAAGTAAATCTATCAAATCTCAGTAAGAACAGTGGATGGCACTTGATCCAGGACCCACTCCCTTCCTCCCTTATACTCTGTCCATCTCAGCATGATGAAAAGTCTATTTGGGGTGGGTATGGCCCAGATGACAAGCTTCCTCACCCTGTTAGAGCATGGTATATGCTAGAAGAGGCAGGCCACCACCATTTCATATCCACATCTAAGAGAAACACATCACAATTGCCACCCCTTAGCAGAATCATGACTAAGAGATTTTGCCCAAGCATAGAGACAGGCCATAAGAACAAAAATGGCTGAAGCGATGTGCAAAGAAATTGACTTTATTTGGAAGAGTGTGGGAGAATTTCAATCCTAAAGGAACTTTTGAAAACAATGCAGATTTTTATGGTAAGCAATGAGATAACGGCTAGTAGCTCTGTGTGAGCAAGAAGATAAACTATAGGTAGGCCAGTTTACTGAAGAGAACTGGCAAAAAAAGCTAAGAAGAGCCTTCAAAAACTATACTTAAAAATGGTCCTGAATTTAATTGGATCAGACTGTGTAGTAATTTATGCCTCAGGGCACTGTAATTAGCAAAGCCTAATAGCTGGGTATGTTATCAAAGGGAGGAAGACAGCTTAACAGAGAAATCAGGGAGAAAGAGAAAGAAAGCTCTGCTAAAATACTGTCAGAGTGCTACAAGAAGAAAAAAAAACAAAAATAAAATACTGTCAGAGTGACTGCACATTCCCAAGACTGTGCCCTCTGTGGAATGACATCAGTGCTTTCACACTGCAGGGGAAATAGGCTTCAATAAAAGAGACCGACCATGTCACTAAACAAATAAATAAACAAACAACAATAGTGCCCAGACAGGAAGTTAGTTAACCAGTATTCACAGATGTAACAATATATATCTAAAAGTTCAGTGAAAAACAAAAAAAAAAATGTGAAACATGCCAAAAATCAGAAAACTGATTCATAAATATGGGGAAATAAGCAAGCAACAGAAAGTGCCTGTGAGAGAGGTCAAATGTATGTCTTAGTAAACAAAGACTTCAAATTAGCTGTTATAAATATATTCAGAGAACTAAAGAAAACCATGGTTAAAAAAGATATGGTAAATGAGATATGATGAAAAGGTCTCATTAAGTAGGAAGTAACAATGAAAAGATAAAAATTATTTTAAAAAGAATAAAGAACAAAAAAGAACCTAATAGAAATTCTGGTGTTGACAACATTGAAGAAAAAAAATAAGGAAGACACAAACAAATGGGAGCATGTACCATGCTCATGGATTGGAAGAATTAACATCATCAAAATGTCCATTCTACCCAAAGCAATTTACAGATTCAATGCAATCCCTATTAAAATGCTGATGACATATTTCACAGATATAGAACAAACATTTCAACAATTTATATGGAACCATAAATGACCCCGAATAGCTGCTGCAATTTTGAAAAAGAAGAACAAAGTAGGAGGGAT